GACCACTACTTTCTTACCCTAATCCTCTTGTTTTTATTTCAACTAATTAACCCTAGATTAAGCTCTAAACCAGCCACCAATATTGACTAGGAAAATGACGAGAAAAGAAAAAAAAAATAAGAAACCATCTTGTGGCGCCAAGTGTCGGAAATCCAAGGAACTTTGACCAAGCTTATTTCTTTCCTTCTTATCTTGCATTTTGGCCAATTTTTGCTTCATTTCTTCATGCTTGGCCAAAACTCTTGGAGAGAAAGACAAGAGAGGAGAAACCTTTCATTTCCACCTTGATCTTGCTTGTTTGAGTTGAAATCTCAAAACTAAACCGATTAAACTTACCTCTTGGTGCTTAGCAAGTTAGGAAAAATGAAAGTCTTGGGAGAATGAGCTTGGTTCTTCACTTAGCAACAAGTATTGCAAGGTATAAGATCATTCACTCCCTTTCTCTTGCTTAATCTTGTTAAGTTTGGTATAAAAGCTTTTAATCTTGGCTTGCTATGGTTGAGTGTTTAGTTTTGATGGTGTAGTGGCATGTTTAGCTAGGGTTTGCATTTTTTCAACTTTGATTATTGTTGTTTACCTAGTAAGTGATGTTGTTGAGCTAGGTTATGGATTTGATGAAGTGATTAATGGTTTGGTTGCGACTTTTTAGAGTAAAAGTTGAATTTCCAGCATTTGTAGTGATTATACCCTGTTTTTGGAACCAACTTGAATAGCATATTTGTCCATGACAGAGGCTAAATCAGTTCTTGTTCAAAACAGGAAAGTTGTAGGGATTTGAGTTAGCTTTCTACCCAGAAAATTTCAACTCAATCGGAGCACTGTATCTTATGAAATGACTAAAATACCCCTAACTGCCCAAATGCCCGGTTTAACTGACAGCTTTCTATTTTCTCTGAGATTTCAATTTTTGATCAGGAAAATGCGAGAACTAGGCATCGATGTCTTCATAGGAAATGTAGGTCTATGTCTTAGCTTCGAAACGCCATACAATTTACCTCGATCCGATATATCTAGCTACAGTTATGATCAAAACACTAAAGGATGACAAATTTGCCGCCTATAATTTCTTCTCTAAACTGGTTTCCAGCTTTGATATCCATGGTGATAAGTTATTATTTGGTATGTTCGGTTGGTTGTGAGGCCTTGACTAGACGTATGTTGTTGGTTATCACTTGTGGTTGAATTGGAGGTTTGTTGGCTTGTGAATCCAAGTTGCACTTGATGGGAAAAGTAAGAAAATAGGGAAAATGCTGCCCAAATTTCTATTACTTGCTCTTATGAATATTAGTGAGATATAAGGTTTGATTTTGGGTTAACTGGATCTTAAGTTACATATGTATCCGTGAATGCACTTCACTAGTAGTATATGAGTTACTTTTTACCAAGATTTGGTATCAACTAAGATGAAAAGTGTTAGTTTTATCTCGAAAACTTTAAATTACATTTGCTCCCTTCAATTTGGGATTGGTTGTTCTTTCAACAACCGATTTCTGGAATTTTCTTTCGTTATGTTTGAATTTGAGAAATGACTAAAGATTTTTCATGACTTGTAAGTTCAAATATTATTATTCACTCTAAAACTGTATTTTCATAGTTGCACTAGTAATTTCTGAATTTTTGATGGTTCATCAACATTTTGAATAGTTAAACCATAATATTTTTCTTCGACTGATCTAGGTTTCTTTGGTGATCCGGAGTACATCCCGGAAGGAAACTTTTGACATATCTCTTGCTTATATTGGTGAGTGTTCCTTGCATATGTGTGCTTTAAATGACTATGTGAAATGTTGTCTATCTGTTAAATGTTTTTCGATGATTGCTAAATGAATTTTCAATGGGTGAGTGTGTACTTTATCGCATTCGACCCAAGCAAAAATACATTTTCAATGTTTGAATGCTACTTGTGCATGATGTAAGTTTTTTGGCTGAACTGGGTTCTTGCCCTTAGTTGTCAGTCGACTCGAGCCAGAAGCGGATTCGGTCGGGCGGCTGGTGACGCTGAGACTGTTTTGGTATACTCGAGTATTACCACGAAGTCTGGTGGAGAACTGGCTAGTGGATTCAATGCAAGAATTTCAACGAAGGAATGACAAGAACACTGAAGGAGTTTTCACTTGCAAACGTTTTCTAATATTGGAGGAATAAGGAAAATGGTTGGCAAATGAATGGCTCCAAGTGAGCAGGTATCCTTTTACTTGAAAATGTTGGATATCTATGTGAAGTGTTTTGCTCATTTATCTGAACTCTTATGCTCGCTACTTGAATATTCCAAGTTTTTACATATGAACAACTTTCTACTTGGGTCTGCATGAAATTTTGGAACCTCACTGAGTTTTGGCTCACTCTATTAGTTTCTTTTGTTTTCCTTACAGGGGGTACGAGCATAGGCGTGAAGCTGGAAAGGCTAGTTTTGGCTAGATTTTTAACGTTTATAATTCTACTAGCGCTAGTGCTTGATTAGGGTTCGAACTGCAATTGGAACTTGAATCTCTTGTTATATTTGGACATGTATGAATGGTTGAGCTAGAAATGAATGTACATGTACTTTCTAAACTTGGGAACTGTTGTTTTCTTTTCTTTTGAAGTTGCAACTTATTTTCTTGACGTAAGTAAGTGAGTCCTGGCGAGAGTTGGGCAGGCGATTCGCTAAATCCTGGGGTTCGCCCTAGAAGGAGGTGGGGTCATCACAGGTGGTATCAGAACTCTTATTGAGCTCATGCCGGGAGAAGGTTCTCGAACTGTAGGAATCGACCTGTAAGTGTGAAATGAATCTTTGTTGTTGAGGGCAATTAGATAAGTATGTTGGGTAGGAATTTCAAATGTGGTTGATTTCTTCTTGAGACTGGCCAACTCGAGTGGTGGATTATCTTATTTCAGATTCTTGTACCCGAATACCAAAGAGTTGAAACCTTTATGATAAGTCGATATCATGAGTAATATTGAGATAAGTTCGGATGGCGAAAGTCAAGGCACGGGGATGCGAATAGTCTAGACTTGACATATATTGAAGATATTAGTGAGATTTAGGACTCTTATTATTCAAATGTATATACCTGATTGTACTTTTTCGAGTTTTGATTAAGTGTAGTGCTTGAATAATACCTGAGATTAATGTCCAAGAGAGTAGAGACTTGAGAATTGAGGACGTGAGTTCGGGTAGTTGGAATGACACGTATTTTCTTGTTTTGCCACTGTATGTATTTTTGCTCGTGACGTGATAATGCTACTATATGTAGTATTTGCTTTTGTTTTAAGTATCTGGTTTTGATCTACTTGATATGTACAGTATTTTGCCATTTGTTGTATGAATTTAGTAAGTTATAAATATGCTAAGTATGTTTCCCTATCTTTAGCTTTGCTTGGTGATGTGAAAATGTCTTTATTTTGGCTGCTATTGCCGATTTATTTTGTTTATGACCTATTTAGCTTGTTTTTTTTTAAAAAAAAAAAGAAGCGAGAATGGAGGGAAGATGAAGTTATGGATGTGGGGGTAGTCAAGGTCGAGGGGTTAGGCCAACTCAAGAATCAAGAGAAGAACGAGAAGTTGCAGCAGAGCAACAACGTAAACCCAGGGCCGAGGCAGGGGATCAAGTAGCGACGGCCATACAACGAATGACCGATGTCTTGGCGCGTCTAGTGGACCAACAGGGTCAAGCACCTGTTAACCAACCTAGGGACCCTGAGATAGGAGAGGATAGGACACTAGAGCGTTTTCAAAAGTTTGCTCCCCCTAAATTCCTTAGAGGGCCTGATCCGGAGACAGCTGAGCAGTGGTTGGAGACGATGATTAATATCTTCGCGGTTTTGAATTACACAGAGCAAAGACAGGTGAACTTTGCTGTATTTTAATTCGAAAGACTGGCTCGGGCATGATGGAATGTTATTAGAGCAAAGTGGGAGAGAGAACAGACTGCATGGACTTGGGCAAACTTCATAAAGGAATTTAATGAGAAATACCTCCCGCCTTTGGTCCAAGAGAAGAGAGAAAACGATTTAATTAAATTACATCAGGGAACCCTGAGTGTAGCCGAATATGAAACGCAATTCACTAAACTATCTAAATTTGCTCCTGAATTGGTGGTTACGGAGTAGAGAAAAGTGAGACGGATTATACAAGAATTGAATTTAGAGATCCAAGAAACTTTAGTGGCAGTGCAAGTTAATACTTTTAAAGAGGCACTTGAGAAAGTTCAAAGAATCGAGAATGCGAAGGCACAGGTAAAAACCTTCCAAGCACGCAAGTGAAGTGCACCTAATAATACACATGAGGAATCTAAAGAAAACGCAACGCCTTTCAAAGTAAAAAGAGCGAACCATTTACCTTACCCACTATGGACACTAAAAACACTAGAAGAAGGTGCTCCAAGGGAAAGTCAAGTGAAAAAAGGACAACAAGAGAAAATTTCTCGAGAAGGCCAAAAGGTGGCTCCTTGTTCGGCTTGTGGATACTATGGAAAGATAAATCACAGTGAGAATGATTGCTGGAGGAAAAGGCGAAAGTGCTTAGTTTGTGAAAGTTCCGACCATCAAATTAGCAACTACCCGAACAAGCAGCAACGAGTGAATAATGCTCAACAAGGGGATAAAGCTAACCCTAGCTAAGCTAATGAAAGAGGGAACAGACCAAGAGTGTCAGTGCGGGTATACGCCATAGACAATCAACAGGCTCCATGGTCGTCTGAGGCGATGGAAGGTAAAAATTTCGAGAACAAAATTTTCTTAAAGGGGAGAGAGTGTGAGAACTTGAAAATTTACTTATATTTTCTTATAAGTCTCTTTTATTTTGAATAAGTTAATTTATAATTTCTTTACTACTAATTTACTTTCTCAATAGTGGTAATAAATCATAGAATCGAGAGTTTTATTTTTATTTTTATTTAATGGCCCAAAATTTAGAGAAGCATAAATGGTTTTAGCCATCACATTAATCGACGGCCCTAGATCCAACATTGCTTTTCTAATTGGAGTATTTCCTATTTTACACGAAATCGTGAATATACTTGGGTCTGCAAACTTTGGTGGGAGTTTCCTTTGAAATATAACCGACACATTTTCTCCCACCGCCACTCTTTCGTCACCCCTTAGCTTCCTCTTGTGGGTGCACAGATCCTTCAAAAATTTTGCGTATTTTGATATCTGTTTAATGGCATCCAACAAGGGAATATTGATCTCCACTTTCCGGAACACATCCAGAATTTCTTTTTCCTTCTCTGCCTTCTTTGTCTTTTCCAACTTGCAAGGAAAAGGAAGTAAATTAGATTTAATATGAGGTAAAGGAGTAAATGTTACCTTAGAGTTTTCGCGAATGCGCCCTTCTTCTTCAATCTCTTTTTCTATCTCTTTCTCGCTTTTGCTTTTTGGATTTGTCAACTTAGACCCATCCACTTCCTTGCCACTTCTCAGTGTCATGGCACTTACATTCTTGGGATTTGTCTCAAGTTGTGATAGCAATTTTCTAAAAACGTGAGACTCCAGACTATTAATTGCAGTTGACATGTGACTTATTTGAGTCTCCAGATTTTTAATACCCGATCTAGATTCCAACAAACCCGCTCTAGTTTTCTTTTGAAATTGAGCAGTATTCGTGACCAGATTCTTGACAATATCTGGCAAAGAGTCTCCTGAATCTGTAGACGAAAGCTGAGGCTTTGCTTGCCATGGTTGTTGAAATCCTAGAGGACGATTAACAAATGAATTCTGCAGCCTGTTCCCACAACTGAAGTTGGGATAGTCTCTCCAATCAGGATTGTACGTGTTGGAGTACGGGTCATACTGCCTACGGGGCTTGCCGTGTTTTCGTGTTTAGATCCATCTTCTTGTAAAATGGGGCATACATCTGTGGGATGGTCCATACTTGTACAAACTCCACAGGCCTTCGCTCGCTGTGCATTCCCCACGACTAATTGCCGAGCAAAAGACGTCAACTCCGACAGTTGCTACTGAATGGATGACGTATCTAACTCGTTGACCTTGCGGGTAGGTTGTGCAGGAGGGTTACTCTCACGGAAGCTAAATTACTAAGAATTTTCTGCCATTGCTTTAATAAACTCCCATGCTTCTCTCGGTGTCTTATTTGTCAGTGCTCCTCCACTCGCAGCGTCAATAATACTTCTGTCAGATGATTGTAACCCCTTATAGAAGTATTAGATCAATAGCTGCTCACTAATTTGATGCTGAGGGCATCTAATGCATAACTTATTAAATATTTTCCAGTAATCATACAAAGACTCCCCGGGGTACTGCTTGATGATGCATATCTCTGTCCTCAGACTCGCCGCCCGGGATGCAGGGAAGAATTTTTTTAAAAATTCTTTTTCAACTGGACCCATGTTGTGATACTACTTGCGGGTAGGTAGTATAATCAATCTTTCGCTACATTTTTAAGAGAGAAAGAGAAGGCTCTGAGTTTAATTTGCTCTTCAGTAATCCCAAGAGACTTTACGCTAGAACACACCATTTCGAACTCCTGGATGTGTTTATGAGGTTCTTTACCAGAGAGACCATGGAACGAGGGTAGGAGGTGAATTAAACATGATTTTATCTTGAAGAAAGTGTTCTCCGCCAAAATTAGGAATGTGATGCACAAAGGCTGGTGGGTCAATTCCGGAGCAGACAGCTCCCTTAATGTTTGGTTATTGGTCATGCTAATTTCGTCTTCTACTGACTCGTTTGCAGTAGATAACTGCCCTTCTTTTCGTCTCTTGGTCTCTTGCCTTCGCCTACGCGCTGCCTTCTCAACCTCAGGGTCGTATATCAATTCACCTGTGAAAGAAACGGGGCATAACCTAGTAAAAATATCAAAAATAAACTGAACTAAAAAAGAAACAAGTAATTCCAGCACCAGTCCCCGGCAAAGACACCAAAATTGACAGGTGCCGAACCTGTGCAACAATAATAAAAATCTAATTACCACCAAAAGCAGTCAACAATTAATTCAGCACTGGAGCAGGGACTCTAGATGTGCAATGGGTTACTTGATTCACCCTGGTTGCGAAGAGTTTGCTTAATCCGATATACCAGAATTAATTGACTGACACAATTTACTAATTAGTAGACAGTGGCAAGTAGGGTCGTCTCCTCGAGAACTGAAGAAAAATTCGTTTCTTTTTAAGCCAAGACAAATGGAGGGTTTGAGAATTAAATGCTAATGAATTGTTAACTAAGTAAATTAAATGCGAAAAATAATTTAATTGAGAGAAATAATTGGAGAAACTCTAACCAAGGATATACTTCAGAAATGGTTCATGCAACAGATCATCGATTCAAGTATAATTCCAACATTCATTAATAGATTGGTTATAGCTGCCATACACGAGATAAACAACCAATTTTTTCTTACTTTTCCAATAGTTAAGGTACTACCGTTAACTATTTGTCTAACCAGAAAATAACCCTAAATACGACCATAGGATTTAATTTCTGGATTGCATTAAGAATTAGAAAATCCCAACCCTAACTAACAAACACGCTACGAGAGTTTGTTTAAATTAGATCGTATATTTTCTTGACATAAACCCAATTATGCCAGTTGCTATCGGGACGGAAATAATCAAACAATTACGGATTCAACTACCCCAACTAGCAAATAGCCTACGTAAATAATTAAATATTGTGCACCTATTCAATCATACACGATAGTTATTGTCGACACCAAATTTATGCCAAATTTTTGTCAAATTTTATGTTTTCTTGAATTTTTTCTATTTGATAAGCCATTTATTTTCCTGCATTTTTAAGTATATTTTGTCTCATTTGTGTAGATTTATCTTTAAAAAAATAAAAAAGAAAAGAAAAGTCAAAAAAAATAATAATAAAAAAATCAAAAAAAATTCAATCAAAAATCAAAAAATCAAAAAAATCACAAATCACAAATCAAAATCAATTATTACTAAGCTTACACATTTCATCATTTTCCTCACCAAATACACTTAACCCATTTTTACACTCCATTCTCACGAGTCTTTCTTCTCATTTTTGGTGAAAAATCCATCATGTTATCTCAGGGATCCATCTTGTCATTTTGGGAGAAGATCATCATTTTGGCCAAACTAATACGCCACCCTCAATTAACTCTCTCGGCCCTTTCTTTTCTTTGGGGCTGGAGACAAAAAAGCAACAACAAGAAGCACTCTCCACTCCCTAACTCACTCTCGGCTCTCCAATTCCCAATTTCACATACACTCCCCACACCAACAACAATCCCCATTCCTCTCTCTCGGATACAAGGAGAAAAGAAAAAGAAAACAGAAAGGAAGAGTTAAGGGAACAAGTGGGGGAGGTTACCATCATCAAAAATCGCCATTGCCACTACAGCTGTGTAATTTCTCCATTGCCAGGCAAGGTAAGGCTCTCGTTTTTTCTTTTCTTTTCCTTGCTATTCCTTGCCTTAAATTCAAAGTTGGTGCTGAAATTTTCCTTGGTTACCCAAATTCTTTATGTCCCGTACCATAAGCATGTCTAGACATTAGTTTGTTTCTTTCTCTTGTTGGTTTTGCTATCATTATGTTATTGGGGAAATGGTATAACTAGATTAGGGAGAAAGGAAGTACGGTTGGTGTATGCATTATTTGTGTTTGATAAAATGCCAAAGTAAAAAAAAAAAAAAAAAGAATTTTAGGAACTGTTTTGCCTTAATGTAGTCTTTTATTGTTGTGTTCTTGTTAACTAAGATTATAGTTGTAATGTAGAAGCTATAAGGAGTGTTTTGGCATAAATTTTATGATTTTTGGTGAAGATTTGAGGTTTTAAAAATATAAAAGCTGGGCTGTTTATTTGACATTTTAGACACTTTCAGATCATCTTTTGTAAAAACTAACTCCGAAAATGGAATCTACGCAAAAAATAGGTTGGGGAGGTGCATTTTGAGAAATTTTGGTGACCGGAGACGTCGCCGGCGGCGGCGGTACGGTGGTGGTGGCGCCACCGGCGGCCACCATGGCCACCAACTGAAGTAAGCTTCGGATGGCCAGAGGAGGAGAAGAAACGAAGGAAGAAGAAAGAAAGAAAAGAAAAGAAGAAAAAAAGGGGTTTGGGCTAATTTTTTTCCTTCGGTGGGCTTGTGGTTGGGTTTTGTTTTATTTCTTTTGGGTTTCGGTTGGTTTAGGAGGTCAGAGCCCATGTGTTTTTTTTGGTTGGGTTTGAGTGATAGAAGACGGGCTGGCCTGTGTGTTTTGGATTGGACTTTCGGCTGGGCTTAGGTAGTTTTTGGCCCAAAGAAATAAATAACGGCCCAGAGGCCTGTTTTCTTAAGAAGATCTGATTACAATTTGCACTTTAACCCCTGATCTTTGGAGTAGTTTCACTTCAGCCCAGAACATTTTAAATTTGTTTCACTTAGGTCCTTAAATTAATTGCACTTTGGTTCTTGAATTTTATCTTTCATTTAATTTTGACCTCTAAACTTTGAAAAAAAATATAATTTTTGTCCCCAAAAGTTTTTCGATTTTTGCAATTCAGTCCCTGATGAATTTTGACTCTCTTTATTATGATTGTTTCTTTTCTTTAATAGCTAATTATGTTACTTTTGAGTATGTTCAACTTGTAATTTTTAGAGATTCTTAAATTTATTTACGTTTGACATATTGAGGTGAATTTTCATTATTATTATTAGTTTTTCAATTAAATTGGTGCCACGATTCTTTTGTTCATTTTGAGTATAAATAGGGCAATTTGGCTCCGTTTAGTCACCACTTCAAAAGGGAGGTACCCCATTATTATTATTTCAATGTCAATTACGTGCTCTTATGTGCTCCTACGTGTTTCTATGTGTTTATATATTTTTATATGCTTTGTTTATTTGATTTGAATGTTCATTTAAATTTTCTTATGTTTGTTTAGTTGATTTTATAATTATTCGAGAGGCACTAAAATACCTCAAAAATGTAATAGATAGGATAATTAGATTTGTTTTATTTTATTTCCCCTTTTAGATTGTAGTTAGGCACTCCCCGATGTAATAGATAGGTTGTGTGCTTATGTGGCTTATGTGTTACGTGTCTTACCCGCTTTTCTTAGGATTTTTGCATCTAAATATTATGCTTATGTGTTACGTGCTACGTGCTCTTATGTGTTTATTTATTTTAATTTATGTCTACTTGTCTTATTATGTATTAAAAATGCATGACGTCACCACACTAGTCCAACGCTAGTTGTGGCTTCTCCCTCCATTTATTTGCTAGTCCAACTCTAGTAAGGATTTTTAGAAATGGGCTAGTCCAACGCTAGACCCTTAGATCGTTCGTGCGTTAGATTCATTTTTGTGTGATATTCATTACATTTTCACGCATATTTTCATTTTTAGGATCTTTTCCCATTTGCATGATATTTCCTATTATATTATCCCCTATCCTCTATATGTGTTAATCATGTCATTTAGAATTGCATTTCATTTAGGACATTGTATAATAAGTTAGCTCATTTGCTTGTGCATATTAGGAGAATTATTTTTCAAACATGGGAAATGGGTGATTATAACTTTTTAGTTTAAATACTCTATTAATCCATGTATAAGAAAATTATGTCACGAGTTTTTACCTCCCGTACCCTTTATGTTGCATTCCCTTTTTCTTTGATCACTTATATCTATGTATATAATTTAATTTCTTTTCTTTTCTTTTAATTTCATCATTTGAATATTCGTGACACTTTCAAGGAATTATTTTGGCCTTCGCAATTAATGCGATTGGTTCAATTAAACCCTTGAATGAACATTTTGCCCCTGTCGATATTTTTTATTTGCATCCATGTAGGAAACATCCAAACATGATAAAATTAAGGGTTAGATTAGGAAAATTTTAACTAAATCTCGCAACTAGCTTAGACTAGGTTGAAAGGGTGCCTTAGGTTTGAATTGATCGAACTTTTGCCTTCCCTTTCTTCAATCGTGACTCT